ATTTAAATCTGCTGCTTCAGTATATGTAAAGAAACATACCCTTCACCTGATGTATGCCCTCCAAGGCAATTGACCAAACTTCAGTTCATTGGTTTAGTTCTGACCAAAAATCAGTGCCTATTGTTCCCAAACATGCAATCATCTCACAGTATAGAGCAATTGCTGGCTCAGTGGCTTAGTGTTATTGATAAGAGCCCACCCTGATGAGAACAAGGAGGACTGCCAGAATATGTTATGGAAAATTAAAAAAAGCTGTTTTGCACACAATTTTCAGAAATGGTTTCCAGTACATGAGAGTAGAGGCTGGTCTGTGGATAGGCTGTCATAACCAAATGCTTAGAAAGGGATGAGAAATGAGCATATTATTCTTGATTTACTATCACTTCATTTATGATTTCCAGTTAATACAGATTCACAAAGCCGTGCCAAAGAGATACTAAAGGCCTGATTGGGCTTTCCTAATTCAAGCAAAACCCATTATCTAAGTCCTTTTGAAGCCTTTCAGGCTTCTGCCAACTCTTGCAATTTTTATTGCAAGCCTTGCAGTACTCTGTTTAGTTTAACATTTCAGCTCTTGGAGATCTACAACATGAGAATCTTTATTTTCAGTTTTAAAATATGCTTATCACCTTTATGACAACAGAAAAACTTGCAAATTAGACTTTTTTTAAAGTGTTAAAAATAAAAGGCAAAAAGAAGGAAGAACTTAATTGTATCATTTTGCTGAATAGCTTCATAAAAAGGTGATATTCTTAGAAGAAATTCATGATTTCTGAGTCCAAGTGCATACTCAAGGTTCCCTAAAGGTTAGCAACACATATTTTCCTGTAACATAAGTCCTGTTCTTGCAAAAATTAAGCTGGGGTTTTTCTTTCCATGCTCATGAAGGTATGCAAAATGTTTGGCCTCCTCCCATGCAGTGTAGGGGGAGCAAAGGACCTCTCCTTCGGTCCTCAGCTTCCCTGCCAGGGGCATGGCTGGGGATTCCCCCAGGTGTCAATGGCAAAGTGTGAAGCAGAGGAAACATCTCACTGACCACCCAGCTGGTGCCAATTCTGCACCAACTGCTTGACCAGGCAGCCCAGTTGCCCAGTGCAGAATCTGCTGTAGCTCTGTGGTCACCCTACAGCTGTCTGAAAAGCCTGGATAAAAAAAACCAAAAACACCGGGCACTGAAGTGTCCCTCCCAATGGCTGCAAATCTGCACACTTGTTGACACTGAAACAACACAATGCTTGCTTCATTTCCCTCTTCCTCCCGCCTCCTGAATTCCTCTTTTTTCCCTCCTCCTTACTGATACCTTTTGTTTATTATATGAGATACTGGAGGCAGGGACTCTCACTTCCTCTGTGTTTACCCAGTGCCTTGCATGGAGGCTGACAGCTTGAATGCCATTATAATCAAAGGGGGAGTAGAGGGGAGGATTTAAGGCACTAAGAAAAATCAGGCATTCACCTACTACTGACATTAAATAAGCTTTGAGTACCTTTCTCCCCTTTAAAAAATTTACATTTCACAGTGCAATAATTAAGATGTCTGTCATCACCAAAACATCCACTGTTAAAATATTTCCAAGATGGGAAAACCTTCATTTAGAGTCTTCAGCAAAAAGCATTTCTGTCTCAGAAGCACTAAGACCTCCTTCATCTAAAATCATGCACAACAGTATTCAGCATACTTTCTGGGAGTCCCATGTGGATCTTGCATCATATATTGCTTTTGTTAACATCTGTGAGGGAGCAGAGACTCCATCAATTAAACATTGTAGGTTTCTTAAAAGAACCTTTCCTATAAATAGAGATTTAAATGATCTCCTTTAAGTATTGCAATCTTTAATTGAATTCAATACCTCTGCAAATGGAGCAAACAATCTCTGACTGATTAGATCATTTGCTTCTATTCTATTTCAGCCATGCACTGGTTTGCAGTAATGTAAGGTTTTTTTCATTAGCAATTGCTGTTCAGCTGCATATTTTCCTCAGTAACCTAATTAATGCTGGAGAGGTAACTTTTCTTCTTGTGCATTACCATATGTCTGTAGTTGACACCATTGCAGAGGTTATATATAAGCAAAAATCAGAAAAAAAAATGTAAAGGACAAAAATGAAAGATAATGAAGAAATCAAAGGTGGATTTTTATTTTTTTTTTCATATGATGGTGAGTGCCTTCATCTCCAGTGACATTAAGGTGGAAAGTGATTATTCAGCACCCTGCAGGACAGACCCATGGGAGCCCTATGGGTCACAAGCTCAGAAATTATTATATCCAGGGAGAAAAAGAACTAGGTATGAATGAAGAGAAGAAATTATGTCCCTAAGGTGATTCAATAGCTTCCTAGGTCTTTGTTGCATGCGTAGTATAGCATCCTGCAGACAAATTTCAGCTCTGACTTTGGGATGTTATCAATCTCCCACAATGAAATCATGGGCCAGATGCCAAACTGTGCTTCAGTGCAGTCCCTAACTAATTAAGTGTACGAAATGACACACAGAGATGCTACCAGGCAGGACATTCAGACACAGATGAAGTCAAGAAAGGCTCATTTATACGCTCAGGATGCCCCAAGTGCTGCAGTGATGTTACCATGGGATGCTTTCCTCACAAATGTTGCTTTCCGGCTCCTAAATCAGGAGTTTCCCATCAGATGCATGAAGTCCTTGCTCCAGCCAGGCTAACAGGTGAGAGAGGCTGATCAAAACCTTCACCATCAGGGCTTGGTTTTCAGCCATGCTCTGCACCTCTGGGCAGTCCTGGAGCCTGCTGGAAGCTCCTCAGGATGGGGTATCAAAGAGCTCATGGCATTGTAGCATAGCCGCTTCAGCCCAAAAGGGATGAAGAAATGGCACAACTGCCTTGAGGCCACTCAGCCCCAGTGGCAGTGAGCTTCTCTAAAAAATTGAGGAGATGTTCTGATAGAGTCAATAAGGGCCATATCTTATTTCAGGCACCACAGCCTAGAAACAGAAAAGCTTTGGAAAATAATTTTGCCCTAATTGTTTTGTTTCCCCTCTTCAGAAAAATTTATACCTCACCACAGTTGTTAGCTTAAGAAAATTTTCTTCCAAAAATGTCCCACTGTAAAACCTCAAAAAAAAAGTCTTAGTGGCTAAATATGCAAATAGTGTGCAAATTATACTGGGGAATACTCCCAGAAACTGAGGCCAACTGGCAAAGCAATTATACCAGTAAATGCCTGCTGCCTACAGATCATGCAGGGTGACAACTGAGAATGGTCCCTGTGACATTTTTCCTCCAAAATTGTGCCTGGGAGTAGCATGAAAGAGTGGCAGAGGCCAACAGTATGCTGGGAACTGGAACAGCTTTGTTTAATTTTAATTTAGTAACATTAATTTAGCTCAAATTATTTCACACCATGAGGGTGTTCTACATTTTAGAAACATATTTTCCCTTCAGTAAATTTGCTGAAGTCTTGGATTTCGTTGCTGCAAATACTGAGGTCAGACTAGTTGGATAATAGAGTGCAAGATACTATTTAAAACAGAATTAAGACCAAAGAAAAGATATTGTTATTTATTAAAACTCTGTAACTCACAACAATAATTATTTAAAACCTTCTGCACCCTGCAAGTCAAAATGCTTTTTTTAAAGGCTTATTTTTAACTCAAATGTACTGCTTCAGGTTTGTTAAATAATTTTTATGTTTACTTTACTGTAGTTTTTGATCCATAATACAAAGCATACAAAGATACTACAGACAGAAAAGCTGAAGTGTCAAATTTGATGCACCAATTCACTCTGTGACTTGAGGTTTTACACAGAAAACAGGCAACCTGACCTCAGCCTCTGCCTAACCTGCATGTGCTTCATTCTTGAGCAAATGAACCTTATGGAGCACACCCTGTCTCTCCCTCATGATGCTTTCTGTGTTCCTTGTCCTACTTTTGGATCTCAGGAGTGTAGCTGTCTGTCATGGCTTGGTGGCACAGTGGACACACAAGCATGTGAACCAGAAGAACACAAGAAATATGTTTTATTTCTTAATCAAATAAAGAAAGCAGAAAAGCTTTTAGCAGGGTACTTTTTTTTCTTGGTTTGGTTGAGGGTTTTTTTGTGTGTTGGTTTTGTCTGGGGCTTTTTTTGGGGTTTTTTTTTTTTTTTTTTTTTTTTTTTTTTTTGTTTTTTTTTTTTTTTTTTTTTTTTTCTTCCTAAAGAAAGAATAAATATAAAATAAGTTTTAGGTATTTAAAGCACAATGTCTGACTGCTGTTACTCAAGGATATACACAAGATGAAGGTTAATTTGCTCACATTCTTTTCTCCCCTCCTTTCCCAATAATTAAATTCTCCCACATATTATACAGAGATCCTGACAAAACCTAAAAGCTACTATATATTACCAAATTCATGAGATGCAAATAACCTCAACAAACAGTAAACAACAGCCCATGACTTGGAGCCTGAGTCTCCCATGGTGCAGGATTCTCTTAATTCCCTCTGCTGCCATTGCCTCTTATGAGGAATACTGTCAGAGAAGATGATCAATCGTGGGACTAGAGAAAGTGCTAATTCCCTCTTTTCCAGCCTCTTGCAACTTTTTGTCTTCACACCTCCTTCCTGTTCTCTCTTAAAACTGGGTCTCTTTTCTCTATCTCATGGATAAAGTCACCACTTCATTTCATTATCTCCAATTCCAGACATCCTGCGTTCCGACACTGAACGTAATCGATGTAAGCCATCAAAGGAAGAAAGGGTTCTTAAAAATATGTACCACTATGAAGATGGATGATGGAGCAATGTAACTCAACACCAGAACAGTCTGAACTGGTAAGTTTACCTAATTTAGAAGAAATTCAAAGCCCTTACTTTCCCTCAAAATGCTGGTGAATATCACATCTGTGAGACGTGTATGGTATAGAACTTTCAACAGGAACTCACGCACTCCTTTAAGGGGAACAATTTCATCTGCAGAGGGAATGCGACAGAGGAAGCCACGCTCAGAGGTGAGAGGATATTTGCAAAAGGTGAGGAAGCTGACTAACCTGACCAATGGGTTCTTTGGTCGGAGCCTTTCCTCTTCTGGCGGTGCTGGTGGCCAAGGTGGTGGTGGTTTCCATGACTGACGTGGACATCTCCGACTGCATCGCGGTGGCTGTGGACTCGGTTGTCATAGAGGAAGGCACTTCACCAACAAGTCTCACATTTCCTTCTATCATGATGTTGGCATCATTTTCTGCTGCCATATTCAGAACTTTCAAGCCATTGTAGTAAAGACCAGAGAGCTGGCCTTGGAAAGGGTGGCCACGTTCCTTGCCTCCAATTTTTATGGTTGCTTGGCTATTGAAGATTGTGAGCTGACGCCCTGTGAAGATAATATTATATACATGCAAAAATGTTGACTGTGAACGCTGTACTCTACACGAGTGATAACAGATTGTCATGGGGTGAAAAATGAGAGCAATAAACTATAAGAAAAGGATTTGACTCATAATTCATTGCTTTTTAATGAGGTGTCCATGAAATGCATAAATTTTGAGAGCGTTTGCATTTTTCTTAATTTACGACATTTTGAGATTTATATGTTTTTTGCTAAAATGCCAATCAAATATATTTGCAAATGTGTTTGACACTACAAGATATACCCCTCTCCCTTTTACCTGAAAGCACTGTTAACCTTTTCGTGTGTCTCAAGAATGCCAGGTTCTCTAATTCCTTAAGATAACTTTTTCTTCAAGTCTGCCAGCATTTAAAAGTTGTTTGTTTTTTTTTTCCACACAATACAGCATAGAGCCTATAGCTTTATTTACAAATGAGTTTATGTATGTATAGACATATACAAATATGTATATACACACAAAGTTTATATATGCCATCAAGTCACTAGGTCAAGTGAGTTTTAAAGAATTTATGCAGTAATTTGTTGCATCTCTATGTAAGTGAATATTTACATTTTTAATTAAATATTTCCTTTTTGTAGTTAAATGTTTTATTTCCCTTCAACATACACACTGAAAAGAAACACTTGGTTCACACTAAGTATCTCAGAGGCAGATTCAAAAATAGATGTCTGATTGGCTTTCAGCAAGACTATCAATTAAAATAAAAGATTTTAGATGTAAAAGCGGCTTCAGAAATGATACACATACCGATGGAGAAATCATGGCACATTTCCATTAAACAGAGAAATCCTCAGCAACAGTACCACTCTTAGTAAATAGAATAGTCACTTTAGTGACTATTTGGTTTCTGCTCACAAAAAGCATGCACACAACTTTAAGTTCTGTTTTAATTAGTGTTTGTTCCAAAATCCCCTTAGAAGGTTGCAAACGTTAAAGGGACTTCATTTTGATTGGCAATTCATATTGCCCACTATTTAAGACACCTACAGTTTAAACAAATTTTTTTTCAGGACCATAATGAAGATATCATAACTACAGATATTTTTAGTTAATAATTTAGATGCTGGAACATGTAATATAATCTATGAATGATTTATAATTTTTGGTTAATGTTTGCTATGAGTACCTTCATAGATTGAGTTAGTGGATTATATTTAACAGTCCCTTTAACCTTAAGTTAACAGGGTAAGATTATTAAACAGCTGGTACTTCTAGAAATGTATAGAAATTATTATACAAGGTATGCAAATATTACTCTACATTTTACTTTTTAAAATTTGTTTTAATTTAGTTTTACTGAAATTTATTTTTTATGTTTATTAGTGTTACAATGAAGCACTACTTGGTTATGTTCAAATTATTTTTTTATTTGAAGTTTTAATCAATGTTTTTTACCTTTGTCGAGTAGCCATTCATCAACTACTCGACCAAGTCGATATGGAATTCGCTGTCTAGCAATCGCCAGGCGCTCGTTATCATTGTTTCCTTTAAAGTTTAAAGAGACATTTCATTGGTTAAAATCTGTAAGGTCAAAGGTTAAAAGTTAATACTTAAAGCTTGAGCTATACAGTTGCCACATGATTTTTTGAAATTTGGAATTTTAAAAAGTGCTACCTAGAACATTTCATGGTTCAGACTTTTCATTCATTCATTTATTTTATTTTAGCAAACAAAATTATTCCTATGTTAATTGAAAATTAGAAATCTGCATTTGAGCTAGGTTATTAAACTTATGTTATAGACAGACCCAAAAAAAAAATTTAAACATCATCGAATAGCTTTACAAAAAAATGATAGTTGACCTCAGGGTTTTGTCTTTTTTGATGTTTCTTATTAACTAGTTAAACATGTTCAGGTGAAACAGGTTTAAGTTTTCAAAAGACATCCAACCTCTCACTCCAGGTTAGTCATTTAAAGAAGAACACAACTCTTAATCACCATCTAAGGCACACTTACTTCTTCTGTCTAATAATAGTCCTGCTGTAACTTATTCCTAAGCAGAAAAAAAATACACATTTCTTCGCTTCATTTAAATAATATTCAGAGGTTCAAATACATGGTACAGAACAGACTAGGTCATTCACAGTTTGTACATTTTCTTTAGACTCCTTGACAATGTCTTGAAGGAACACCAAGGCTTTGACAAAAGTGACTTGCTGAAAGGTAGCCTGGTTATGAAACTTGCAAGTGCTTTAAAATTTAGCAAGAGGCCATCTGTGGTGGGGTTTCATAAGTTAAGAACTAACCAAAACCCAGCAATGCAAAGGACAAACTTGTCATATTTGCCAACTGTATCTATTCTCAGTCAGTGCAGAGATCTCGGACTTCTTTAACTAAAACAGTGAGATAAAATAAGGCTCAGTCAGAAAAATAGCAGATGAGGAATAATTAGCAAAACAATTTAAATATTTATTTGCAATTATAGTTTTTTTTGTGTTTGAGTGATATAGTTGTGATCCCTCAGAATACCACTTAGAAAGCTACTTAGGAGAATGGCAAACCTAAATATTTCCTTCAATGTATAGGCTTTTGGTGGCAGCAGAGTTTTAGAACAATATGATCTTTTCCTTTCACTGTATTGGTTCATATTAGAAAAGAATCTAGAGAGATAAGAAGAGCAAGATGAGTAAAAAAGCAGTCATTCATAAATCATGTCTAAATACACAGTCAATCTTACTGACTCAAATGTGGATATTATCTTTGACTTCGAAACGCACCAAACCAACCAAGAAACCAAGTCCTGTATCTGCAGTGGAAATGTAAGCACACGCTGCAGTAAGCCCACATAGTGCTCAGAAAGATATGTTTTTGAGCTAGAAGGACCCTAGTGCTAACTGTCAAACAGAAATATTATCCAAATTCAGGACACACCAGTGTTCCAGTTTGTCACAAAATTACAAGCCATAACAGGCTTGCAGGGAAGAGTCAGTTCAATAGCCCCCCAGAACTGCAAATGAAACCATGGTGGTTTTATGCAGATATTTATTCTACAGTGCTGAGAACTGCTATTTTCCATGTTTCATGCATCCCTCACTTGGTTTAGCATGGACATGATTCACCATGTCAGAGGCTGACCTATTTGCTTTTGAGGAGATGGCCTTTTTCTGTTCCTTCCCTTTCTAATATCTAATCATAAAATGGTTTGGGTTGGCATCATTGCAAAGGACATTTGAAGATCATCTCTTCCCTCCCCCCTGCTAAGAGTAAAGACACCTTTCACCAGATCAGGTTGCTCAAAGCCCATTTGACCTGACCTTGAGCCCTTCCAAGGATGGGGCATCCACAACTTTGGACAACCGCAGAAGGTGGTTCCACAATTTCTCTGAGTAAATATATTATGTGAACATCTAAGTGCATGTCATATTAAAAAAGTACATGGATGTATATGCATATATGTAAAATATACACCTTTTGTTTGTATGTACATTTCTGTCTATTCTAAGCTTTTAGACATATTTTCCATAAAACAGGACTGAAACTGAACATCAAACGTTTTATGGAAACTTTCCCTTTTGTACTTCCCCAAGAAAGTGAAAATTTAGAATTAAACACATCACAACACAACCACTCTGATGATGTGATAACAGAGAAAGTTTTAATTTTTTTTTTTCCTGTTATGATCTTTAAAATTGTTTCTCTTCATCCTGGCCTCCTTTTCTCACAGCAAACTTCCTGTGACTGAATGGAAATTTGAGAAGTACCAGAAAAAAAACCCATAAGAACTGTCATATGACCAACACAGGGGAAAAAAAAAAAAAAAAAAAAAAGTAAAAAAAGCTATGATCTTACATGTTGCTGTTCTGAATTTGTATCTTCAATCAAAATATGTGTGTATATATGTATAACTAAACTAGGGAGGTAACAATTTATATTTTCTGATAGTCAGTTACTTTTAACACATTTATCTTTTCAATAAGATGTTTTGACAGTTTTTATTCAGGCTTTATCACTTGAGTCACTGAATAAGTGAGAGAACATCCTATTTCTAAAAGGTTTCCTTAACTTACAGTAAATGAATCATGAGTTTTAGTTAGTGTTGTGTACCTTTTTTTGGGGTTTTTTTTGCTTATCTATATTTAAAAAAAAAACGGGGGAGTGGGTGAAATTCTTCTGTGTCATTTATAAGAAAGTCTAAGTTGCTCAGAAGAGGTCTGTGGGCATAAGGAATGCATTAACATAATGGAAATAAGTCTCATGGATGGAGATCATCATTCACTCAGCAGCTTCACGCACAGTTACTCACTGGATGCCTTTCATGAGCAAACACTCTCTAGTTCCCAAAAGAACCAGGAAGTTATGGCTAAGTGTTCACAACTGCCTATTTTGGGAAGGCATTAAACTGTGTTGTTTATTCACCCAGTAGGTGCAGATCAGGAACATGTGGTAAGAGAACCCCCTGCAGCCACCAGACAGGATCCTCAGTGCTACTGCAAGTCTGCTGTAATTCCATGACTAACACAAGATCTATCCAAGGCAAGGTCCACTCTCACTACTCTGCAGCTGCTCCAGAATATCTCTACGGTGATCCTGGAAACTCCTCTCTGAACTAACAGCATAAATTTAATCTTGGCCAGCTTATACATTTCTTTGAATTATTTAATTAAAACATACAATACGTATGGTTTTTGAGACTATTATAATGTGATTCTGTCAATAAATTATGTTTCATACTAGCTGCAGCAGTCCTGCACCACTGGGAGCAAAATTCAAATGAAAAGCAAGAAAATAACCATTTGATTTGTAAAGGTCACACAAAAAATAATTGCTGATTACATTAGCCCATTCCTCATCAGAGGAAAAGTGCACTGTGAAATACATCTCAATTTGGCACTATTACGTTAGCTTAAATTCTTCTAGTATATAATATAAATTGAAAGGTTAGAGGGAAATGGTGTGGAACTTATCTGGATTTAATTTCAAGGAGAACACATGGATTTAGTAATGATGAAACCAGTAGACACATAACAACTACATGAAAAAAAAATTATACATAGAACTGAAAATAACAGAAAATCCATTAAAAGCAACAAAAGTCCTATTTACTATATAATGAAAAACACATATAGTTTCAATAACTGCTTCTTCCCAAACATCTGGTTTGGGTCACACACTCAGCTACAACAAATCTGGATAGACCCAGTAAAACTGTATGCATTTCCCTCACCTTATAATCTCATCCCCAACAGAGAAATCATAAATACCACAGACTGATTTCCTCAGGAGTATTCAGTTCACGTTTTTTCTACCTTCCTTTATTTATGTTTGTTTTTACCCATATGGTGAACCACAAGGAACTTCTTCAGTAAAAACACTTCCAAGAAGGTTAATAAATTTTTTCATGCTCTAAATAAACCTGCAGCTTTGAGATTTTATTCTGTTACCCATCTGAAAGATTAAGTGCTCTGGCAGGCACCTTTTCAATCATAATTCATAAAAAAAACCCCTGATGTGCCTAAACTTTAATTGTAGACAGCTATGTGACTATCCAGCATTACTCTTCCAGGTTATATGGCCAAGATTTCTTTGATTAAAAAAAGCTGGGTGGAAATGATTCACCCAGGATGTGCACAGTGACATTGTCTAACCTGATTGAATTCTAGATTGCTTCATTCTTCTGCCAAATACACAATATTTTGTCACAACTGAGTGTTAATTCCATACTGGCAGAAAGGCTTCAAGGGAATAACAATAATTCCAAAGAATCAAGGTAAGCAGAGAAGAGCAGCAAAGGTCAAATCTTTGAGTCAGAGTTAAATCTTGTGTCACAACTGAGAAGAAGCAGTCCAAAAAAACTTTAATCATACCTTTATATCTATAGGTCAGCTGGGACAAACCAACTATGTGAACTCCACTAATATGTATTTTATCCCTCCTGATTTATTATATTGTCAGGACTGGAGTGTAATTCTATTTTGTGCTCTGAAATAAAGGTGTCAGTTATTGATGTGAAATAGCAGCATCCTTGAAAGGGAATAAGTAAGAAGGTTGAAAATCGTGAGTCTGTGAAGAGCAACCTAGGCTAGAGAGTATTTTCTTTGAAACAAACCCTTTAACAGAATACAAATTCACATTGTTAGTCCCAGTGATCTGTTAGGGAAATAAATAACAAAGTGATGAAACCAAGGTCTATCTCCACTTATAAACAATCCTCTCTCCCTAGTTTTGCTTATCATGATCTTGACATGGCTCTTTCTGAATCATGACTCCCCTGACATCTGCAAGACGAAGGCAGAGACCCACATCATTCCTCCAGATGCAGGTAGGGATGAAATCTGACTGAAATGCCAATTGCATGGAATGAGAGGAAGCCACAGCACCTCAGAGGGTGGGATATGGGAGCAAACAGTCCACAAATGGTCTCACATGGCCAGGAAATGAATCACAGTGAAATCCCACTCTCACTAATGGCCCATAAAGTTCTTTCATACCATCTATTTCCATTATTGTGCACACATTCTTGATAGTGCATGGGGTAGAGAAGAGGT